GGTGTTCAAGAAGAGGGAAGATGTGGCACTGAGAAACATGGTTAGTGGGCATGGTGGGATGCATTCAGGGTTGGACATAGTGATCTTTAGAGGACTTTTCTAGCACTTATGATTCTATGAACCAAACTCATCAGGATCCCCAGCATAGTGAGGAAGGACTCCTCTTTACAGATAAAAATAGTACTTAAGAGTCACTTTGTTTATTCAAGGTAAACTTGGGAATGCCCAAAAAGTAGAACAAAAAAATAAAAAACACTGCAAATCCACGCAGCTCTCAAGAGCAGGGCGAAATGTTGACATACACACTAAAAGCGAAAGAAATGGTTGCTGGTACTTCATGTCTGTAAGAAAAGAGCAGACTCATACCGAGGATTTCAATTAAAAAACAGCAGTCTGATGGTCCCTACAGCAGCATTTACTCCAGCCCTTCCTAGGAAGCATTAAACTGTGAGCAAAACAATTTCCAAGAAGCTGATTCCTAATAGCCTATTATCCTGGAGCTGTAAGCCTAGGAGTGGTACTTGAGCTGTAAACTCTTTCAGCACCTGCGCACAAACAACGGGTGCAATCTCAGCACAGCAGATTTATAGATAAGAGTTCAAACATGGATTACAGAGTAACAACCTCTCACTAATCCAATGTTTCATCTCCAGAAGGCTACTGAACCTTGCACAGCTTCACCTCCCTAACAAGCAGAGCACACCCACCTGTTAAGATTTAAGCCTGCATGCATTCAGTGTGGGATTTCAGCTGCTGTGGTACTTTTCTGTGTAAAAATATGCACTGCTTGTGCTTCCAGCAGCCTTTATGACAGCCACACAACACTCTATAACTCTGCATTCTTTCACCTTTACAGTCTCATCGTACAGAATTATAGAAAAGGGTACATAGGAACTAGGAGATGAACCACCTGCACATTCCTTAACGAGACCTCTGTAATTGCGATTTCCCAGCAACCAATAAGGAAGCGGCCCGGGGGGATGGCAAGATGGAACCCATCAGCACACAGAAGACACCTGGGCAGGGCAGGTTATAATGGGCAGAAGGCACACTTCCCTTTTGCACGAGCAGAAAGGAAGCGCCCGGAGTCCCTCCCTGACAACTACAGGTAATTTTTTCCACCATTTAAGACACACAAGAGTTGCTGTGACCCTCCGCCGCCCCTCTCGCAGCCCGGGGCTCCCTTCAGGGCGCAAAGCCCGCTCGGGGCTGGGCCCAGCAGCCGCGCAGTGCTCCCCGCTGAGGGCCGCGGCCTCCCGGCGCTCTACCTCCCTCTCCCTCGAAACGGGCTGGGGCTGCTGGAGCCACCAGAGGAACTGTTCATAGGGCAGAGTGAGGGGCGAGAGAGATCGGGGTGATGGCGAGGAGGGAAGGAGGGGTGAGTGAGGGCCCGGCGCCGCCACTCACCTGCGCTCCGCCGAGGGCCGCCGGGAGGAGGGGGCGCGCAGCGCGCATGCGCGGTGGGGAGGCGGGAAGAAGTGCTGCAGGGCGATGGTTTGGGGCTGCGGGGCCTGGGAGCAATTCGGTCCAGCACGAGTTGCTTCTGGCAAGTGTCGAGCCTCGGGGGAAAGTTCCTCGAGGTGATACACCCGCTGCAATAGGGGAGTGAAAGGATGACTACACTTAATACGTTTGCAGAAAGGGGTGAGTGGCTCTAGGTGACTGAAAAAGGCATTTCTGAGGAAATAAGCGCTTTGAATCCTTTCATTTCTTCACCCTGTATTACTCTGTGTGCGCTAAATCACCACAGAGCCCTTCTCCACAAGAGCTCATCGATGTCTCGGTGGGTTTGTTGTTGGGACTGGGGCTCCTGGCATGGCTGTGTGAGGAGGTGAAACTGCTAAACTAGCTAATGCTAAGCAAAATACACTTGGTTGGTAGTTAAGCATACTTAACAATACTTGCCTTCACAAAACTAGTTAATGCTAAGCAAAACACAGGATCAAACGATAAGCAAAGCATCCTTTATTTACCTAAGAAGCCCAGAAAATCATTGTTGTCTAAGTAACAGCACAAAAATAGCCAGATGAGAGTAAATGTGGAGTGCTGCAATATCAGTATGGCAAATAACATCTACAGTGTCATGTACATGATGTGCTTTTCAGCATACCATCTCTTGCAGTGCAGGTGCTGATGATGGAAGTCTCCAGACTGAACTCTGCTCCAGACCAGCAGCATCTCATCTATACCATTTCATCATCATGTGGTCACTGAAAGATTATGTAAGTTCTGTCCCACTGCTTTTCACCATTGCAGTTTACCTGTGACAAGCTGTAAGCAGGCACCAGTGAGCACGAGTGCCTGGAGCTGTGTGAAAACTGCAGCTGTGGCTGTGTACACAGGATTTGTTGTGAGCAATGAATGTATTTCCCTGCTGCGCATCTATTGTCTCAAGAACTATTTTGATTGTGAGCATTAAAAAACTGAGAATGCAGAGGAGAAATAGTTTGTATGAGAGCGTGTTTATTCATGGTAACAGGACCATAGGTTGATGTAAACTTATTCCTGCTCTAAACAAGGTTTTGCAGTTAGGCTGGGTTGTTCTCAGTGCCGAACTCTCATGGTACCCTAAGTAGAAAAAGCAGCAGGTCTGCTTAGAAAAGAGCAAAATACATGGCTATGCGTGCAGATTGAAAGCATCTGCAAGATTTAATGTACCAGAAGCTTGTTTCAGAAAGGAATTTTATTGACAGTATTGCAGTCTTTGTGAATGGCCAGTGATCTTGGACATTTAAAGGTGGTGATATAACAGAAAAAATTAACTGCTGGGTTCTGGAGGTTCTGTGCATGTACAGTTCAGTTTTATGAGCCACTGCCTGAACTCTGATACAACTGCATGCATATTGGTATTGCCAACAAGTATTAAAAGTAGTGCCCCAGTCATCAGGTTGAGGCCATAGTGCATCCGGCTGCTCTAGATGAGTTACTTATATTGTCTGCAGGGAAAATGTTTGACTCTACTGGAGATGCTCAGAGCTACATAATTTCTGTTCTTAATTAGCACATCAGCAGTGCAGCCAGACCTTAATTTCACAGCTCAGCAGTGCTGGCATTCTCCTGGCACGGGATTCAGGTCAGAGCTGTGGCTGAGGCAGGGAAGTGCCAGCTCCAGGACTCAGGGGGAGGCAGAGCATGAGTTCAGAGCCTCTCATCCAACTCACAAGTGCCCTAAGCCAGTGTGTGAGACACCAGTATTCAACTGTGGGACTTTAATGGAAGTTGCTACATGAGGTTTGATGACACAAGCTTCTGTTAAGTACCTGTAACAACCAGATTTTGGAATAAGTTTGTCTCTTGTGGCCAGGAAGAGAACCGAGGAGTCTATGTGGCCTGACAATTTGATTCTCTGTCACTGGTGTTCATGGGATGAAGGTTTAAATCCTCTCTTATGTTCCTTTACACCAAGCACAAATGAAAACATGCAGCTTAAATAAAAGCAGGAGCAGCATAAAACTACTTATTCAAGATAGATGCAAGACAAAAAACTCCTCAGATTTTGGGATTGTCTCAAGAAAGGGAGAACAGATACAAAAATAATTCATGTGTATTGAGTTGGTCTCTGTTTCCATCATGACTCAAAACACACTCCTCAAATGTTTTACAGCATGGAATGTTTGCCTTTTAAATGCAATCCATTTAGAAGGCTTACGCGCTAACTTTTGATTGCTTTAACTTATTTTCCATGAGTGGAATACTGAAAACCCATTTCTCAGCCACAGGATTCATAAACTAGAATCCAATTGTCTCAGTGTAAGAAATGGTCCTTTGCCACACCTTGAATGCCCCATTCCATGCAGGTTGTATAAGCTGCAAAAGAAACTTTCCTCCCAGTTAGCCTGTCAACAGCACAAACTTAGGCCTATTACTACCTAAAAGCAGGTGGAGCCACATTAAAACTTCACCTTCTGAAGAATCCAAGTTCGCAGTATAAGTGCTCAGGACATCAATATGAATTACACTGGAAGCTACTCAGTTCTAGCTCTGCTTAACCTGGTGGGTTTTCAGGCTTCCCTCAAATGACCACTTGCCAGCCAACATGTGCCACAGTCAGGAGTTGCAGAAATAGGCAAAAAGTTGATCTGTGCTCTACAGAGGTCTTTGACTGGCATTTCATCACGTGGTACCATAGGGTAAAGTGTTCATACAGAGCTTTGGAGGATTAATCTCCTGATCACTGCGGGTCTGACTAGAGCTGGCTTGAAGGCAAAACCTGGGATCATATGGGGCTGTATCTCACACGCTTGCAATGTTAGGTTTTCCTCCTCCTGCACAGCATCCCTGTTCTGCTGCTCACCAGTATGTAGAAAAGCAGAGCATGAAGGGGAAGCCCAGAATCATCAGGGCTGACAGTGCTGCAGCATCCTGTGCAGTGAATAGGATCAGCATTTCAGAGGGTGGGATAAATAATTCCTCGCTTCTGTATGTGCTGTTTGAAAAGATAAAAATAGGTGGAAGTGTGTGTGTTAACTGGTGTCAGTACTGGTTTAAATTTGTACTGCAATGATTGCATTAATTAGTTGAAATGAAGGCATAGCAAGGAGTCTCTGGCTTCCCAGTTGATGCCTTCTCATGTTCTGTACAGGCATAGGAGCTCTGGGGACTTCCATTTCAGCTCACCCCGGGCAAATGAATGAGGGGTATTTAGGCTTAGAATAGCCTTGGTTTTCCTTTTAGTAGAGGAGACTGATAATGGAGCAGATAAATAGCAATTTTTATTAGGTTGGAGTAGTTACCTTTTAGTGTAAGGACAAAAACAGAACCACACTTCCTCGTTCTTATGAAAAAAAAATCACATTTTGTGGTAAGCATGAAACAGAACAGGGCACTCAGTAATTTGTAGGAAATACTACACTTGTTTCAGAGGAACGTGTTTGAATCTGGTTGGAGAATCATCAGCAATTTGAGAAATGACATCAGCAGAGGGCATATATTTCTTAACACTGCACCTTAAGTGCACCTGTAGGATGTGGTTGTGACTGTAACTGCTAAGAGACACCTGGTTAGAGAACTGCTTTTATTCTGTACAAGTTGTACTGGTGGAGCTCGTGCATAATGGACAATCAACATATTTAGGTAGTGGTTAATTAAGAGGCTGTATTATTTCAGGTACTTACTACAAAAAATGCATTTAACTGTGTGCAGTACAAGGCTTTTTGAACTTAAAATGATTCATTAAGGTGAAGCAGGCCACCTATAATCATTCCTCCCCACAAGATAATTTTACTCAATAGGACCACATTAATTTATACTCCAATTCCACTGCACTCACGTAAGCAGTTGTGCACATTCCAGAACAGTCCTTCTGACTTCTAGAGCTGCCTCTCTGCTGTGCTAACACACCATGTTATGCACATCTGTTCCTGCTGCAGGTGTGGGATGGACCATTAAGGTGTGATGGAAGCGGTGGCCTGGAAGAAGTACCCATCTTAATTCTGCTCTGAATCCAAATCGCTGTGCTACACTCAGCATATGTTCTGCTTTCACTCATTCCATGGGGAAATAAGAAACAATTTCTTTTTCACTGATTGCTTCTATGCCCAACAACTGCATCAAACTTAACATCAGTCAGCTTTTTGAGATAATTCAAGGCACGTTCTGGAAGCAACCTGGAAGAAAAAAAATCCATGAAATTAAACCTAGGGTAAGAATTCAGGTTTTGGAGATAGCGGCACTACAGATGGGATGGGAGCTCATCTGGGCACAGAATGCATGCTCACATCAGACAGACCAGAACTTCAATCTGAGGGGTACTTCCTAAAAACCCACTGCCTTCATAACTCTTTGTCTAGCTTGACCTCCAGTCCCTTCAGCACCTTCCTCCTTTTAAGATCACTTCAAGGACAGATATCCACTGCAAAGATGTTGATTTAATTACTGCTTGCAGGTTTAATGTTGAATGTAGACAAGTACATTAAAATGAAACGAGAACTGACTTTGCTTTCAAAACCTCATCTGGTTGATAGAGAATTTTGGGAAAGCAAAAGATTCTTTATGCTGATTCTTTATGCTTATGAAACAGTTCTGGCTGTCTCCTGGCTTTTATGGATAAGTTACTATGAAGTAATTGTTGAGATACTGTAGATGCTAACTGGAGTGGTAATGTAGTTGTTGTGATACAAATCTAGCTTTTGAATCTGAGCTGTGGAGAAAATGCAGCCCCAACAGAGCAGCTACGCTGGATGTCTAAGAAGTATGAGGGGACCAACCTCACTTCACATGGCTGAGGGAAAGCAGCAGAACACTTCTCAAGCAGCATTCCCAGCAGTTGTGACATAGACCTGGTGCTGCCGTGAAGAAATGAACACCAAAAAGCAGCAGATCCTTAACTGTTTTTGGAGATTGTCTGGGGCTGCTGGTCCAGAGAAATTATTTTTTGCAAGCCCACGGGATATTCAATTTGTTATGGAAAAGCAATCCTTTTATCTTCTTCTGCATCCCTACCATATCCCAAATGGAGCACCTGAGTTCTTCACTCAGCACTTGTGCAAAAAAATGGATCATAAGTACCTACATGACAGCTCAACAAAACCCTCATGGTGTCTGCTGTTGTCAGTGGAAAGAAAAACAATGCACTGCAATGCTGATTTGCCCCAGCTTCTAAAATAGCACAAAATTGAATCTGATGTTACAAGTGCTTTCAAGAAATATTTAGATGTTGTACTGGTTTAGTAGGAAATATTGGTGACAGGTGGATGGCTGGATGGGATGACCTTAGAGGTCTTTTCCAACTTTGGTGATTCTATGAAGTGTAATGCTTGTACACTTGCACTTATCCCTTGTGTTGTTACATACCTTTCAAGAAGTAAAGCAAAACGTTGATTTGATGGAACAAAAACCATTTTCTGGTTGGTCACTATTCCTTCCATCAGTGCCTTCACAACTTCATCAACCTCCAAGATCTTTCCAAGCCTAAAATCAAAAGAATGCATATATGTAAGGGCAACAGTGATAAAAACATGGGCAGCAGCTGAATATGAAATAGGATGCTTCACATGTGCATGAAGTCAGGTAAATAAAAGATAACTGCTATGTGGGGTATGTACTCAGTTTGAATAACAGGTAAAGCAGGGGCAAATATGTAATGCTGACTTGTGACCATTACCTCATACTGGGGTTTTTGACAAATCCAGTATTTATAAAAACTGGACAGAGACACGTTGTTTTTATTCCATCCTTTCCCAGTGAAGTCAGCTCATCCGTTAGGGCTTTATGAAATCCAACTGCAGCAAACTTGCTTGAACTGGTGGAGGAAAAAAGCACAAATCAGAAGGCATGAATGTTATTTCTGGCCTGATAGAAAGGAGCTGAGAGAACATGCAGTACTGACTAATGAAGGAAACAGTGCAATCCACTTGGGAAGGCAAGGACTAATTCTAATTTTTGCTGTCTTACAGCGTTTTCCTAAAATAGATATTGCTGCCTGGGGAAAACATTTTGGGATTTGAAGCGGAATATCTAAGTAGTCTCAGTAGTGAACTGTCAGAGGAGTGTTAGGAAATATTAATTGGCATGCGTAAGTCTGATGTTTTTATTTTTGAAAGCTGAATTCAGTAGACAGTGTAATGTCCAGCATTTCTTACTACAGGAGAAAACATGGCCTGAGTCTGTAAAGCTAAGAAGAAAAAAGATGGTAAAAACATACAAGTATTACTTTTTCTTATGGCTACAGCAACTCACAAGAGCACTATGTTATTGTAAGAAGAAGGAAAGCAGATACCTTTTTCACCAATCAAAGTCTGGATCAGTTATGGGGAGGAAAAAAAAAAACAGATTCCATTAGTTTATTTGTCATTTCACTAGTCTTTCATTGAAGCATTGTTCCCGATTCAGTCAGAGCTAATGAGTAAATCAGTGGGCATTCCCACAAGCACTTATGTGCTGAGTGCTGTGGGTTTTCTTCCTCCTTTGGAAGAAGCTTACTGAGTGTACATATTTCCTCTCCATGTTTGCTGGTGGAGAAGACAAAGATAAGAAATGAAGAGAGCTGATTTTGAAGTCACTTACCAGTAAACCACCATGAAAGGAGTTACAAGATGACCTGCTGCAGAAGCCACTGTGACAATGTGACCGTAGTTGTTGTTCATCATTGTTGGCAGAAAAGCTCTTGTTGTCTTGAAAGGGATTTAGAACAAGGACCGGAAAAAGGGTTGGGGGAGGAGGAAGATAGTAATGTCTTAAGTGTTTTTCAACACTGTTCCCAGGTATGTGCAATTAAGTGACTAATGCTTTTCCTAATGCTAGGTAGGTTCTGAGAACCATAGAAATGCCCATTCTCCCTCCAGCTGATGCACTGGAAGGACTCTTTCAGCAAAGTCAGGTATCAGCAGAAGATGATATTCATGGTACTCCTAGCCTGCTTTTCAGTTTCACTTGTCAACAGCAGCACTACAGTATCTCTCCCCAGCACACACACAATTTGTAGTACCCCATTTTTCCTCCTGCAAACGGAAATTCTTTAGTACTAGGAACGCTGCTGAAAGCTGTCCTATCCCCAGGATCTGATTGCCAGAGTCCCAAAGAGCCAAAACCCCAGCTCAGAGGTGTCCCAGCTGCATCACCTCCACACAGGCTGCTGGTAGAGAGCTGGGAGAAGCCCTGCAGGAGATAAGACAGGTGGCAGCACTTGCAGGCAGCGGCAGGACAGCTACAGGATGGGATTAAAGCAGTGCCAGGAGCCCAGAGCAGAGCCAGCAATGAGACAGGTACAAAATACTTCAAGACAGAGCCCTGCAGACTGGCTAACGTGCTGGTGGCAGTCAGGGAGAGGCTGGGTCCGGCTGCACCACGTGGCATGGCTAAGAGCTAGCAGACAGCCCTGCTCTGCACCTAGCACTATGTACCAAAGGCTGCCTTCTCTCAGGGGCCAGATGATAAAAAAAACAAACCAAACCACTTTGCATTATATGAAGAGTTTTTCTACTGCTTTCAGGCTCTTGGTGCCTGGCTGAGAGTGCCCAAACAGCCTGACCCAAAGAGAGACACTAAAACACTTGTGACATAGACCAACCTACGCTGCGGGAGAAGCCATCACAGCCAACTTGTGTGGAAAGGAAAACAAGGGAGCCAGGCCAGCCCCAGATCAGCAAGAGACAATCAAGTTTCCCAACAGCCAGACTGAGTGCATGTTTGCTATACACACAAAGCAGCAAGAGAATTTGGTAATTTGCCTGTAGTTTTAAATAATTGTTGGTCTAAATACATATCCCTAATAACGCTTATGGAGGCATGAACGTGCTGGAGACCCTTACCCAGATGTGAGCAAGAATGTTGACTTCAAATGTTTTCTCAACTTGGTGGTCCTGGGTGGAGAGCAGGTCGGCAGCTGCAATCACACCAGCATTATTCACCAGGATGGAGATATCACCAATGTCCTTTTTCACCTTTTGGACCAAAAGATGTGTAGGTGAACGTCACTTGTTAACACACAAAGTCCAAGGTTGTGAGTAGCAAATGATTTAATTCTTACAGTGATTTTCTTGCAGTCAGGAACATGCAGTGTCCTTGTTGCAGCCAAAACCACAACAGTCCTGAAAGCTGATTTAGATCTGATGTTCTTCCCTTTTTTATTGCCAGTTATTACAGTGTCCTACGCATCACCCATGGACAAACATGCTCTACAATTACAGCTGGCACTGTGGACATACAAAATGATTTGAACCATTTGATTTGAACCACCCTACAGTGCAGCCTTATACATTTTTATGTCTGTTCCTCAGCAAGGCAGTAGCAGGAAGTTTGGTTGCAGGGTCTAAAGTCTGAAGCACGAGCTCAATAGGACAAAGGCTCCCAGATTAGGATGGGACAAGCTGCAGTACCTGAAGGTATGTATGTACAGCAGCAAACAGTGGTGAGATTGCAGGGGCTTGCACAAACTGAGTGGGACACCTCGGTGCTGTCTTCCAGCACTTCCCAAATCGAAGCACGTTTGGGTAAGCCCTGGCACATGCACCTGCTCCCCTACCTTCTCGGCAGCGCTGTAGATCTCCGCCCTTTTGCTGCAGTCCACCACAAAGGTGTGAACGGTGGCTCCCAGCCCTTCGCATTCTGCTGCTGTCTCTTTGAGGCCGTGCTGTGGGAAGAAGGATGCATGTATGACACGGGTGCCACGGCCTCGGAACAGCCCGTTTATCCACACCGCGGCCCTAGCCTCACCGCCTCGACGTCCCACAGCACCAGGCGGCTCTGGCGCCGGGCGAACTCGAGGGCCGTGGCCCTGCCCAGCCCGCGGGCAGCGCCCGTCACCAGCACCAGCTCCCCGCGGACGGTCTTCCTCTTGGCGGGCAGCAGCAGCTTCACCAGCGCCTCCACGTAGGCGTACAGCAGCGTGCCCAGGAACACCAGCACCTCCAGCGCGGGGCTCATCTTGCGACCGCTCCGCACGACCGCGACAAGTCAATGCACGCGACCCCGCCGGGCGACGGGGCAGAGGGAAGCAGCCAATCGGGAGCGCGCTGTGAGCGAGGGGCGGGGCCAAAGGAGGGGCGCAGCCAACGGGATGGTGGCGCCGCTGATTGGCCGGGCTCCGCCCAATGAAAGGGCGATGAGCTCTCGGAGGTGGTCACGTGTTTTGTTTAACAAACAAAACATCTTAAAATCGTAGGTCGGAGCTGGTGGTTGTTGCTGCAGGAGGGGGTTGTGCGCTGTGTCAGCAGTCAAAGGCATGGGATGGAGGTTTGACAGAGCCCAGAGTCTGAGGGCACAGCTGCTGCAAGTAGCGCCCTTCCTGTTTTGCGGACAGTGGGGTCACTGAAGTGACATGGGAATATTTGTTGTTAAGAAATGATGAAGAAGTTGTGATTGCTTGCTGTCTGTCATTTATTCAGGCTTAGAAAGTAAGCAGACAAGGGTGGGGAGAGATATTCACTGTGACCCATGCTGGCTTCAGTCACGGAAACCTCTTTGTTGATCTGTGGTTTTAATGTGCTGGTGACAAAAGGTGTGAGGGTGCTGAAGGAAGCAGAAGACGATCGGAAAGCAGCAGTATTTCATAGGCGACAGCTCTGGTTGTTCAGATAGGTATCTACAGAGTGAGAACAGAATTGCAGAGTAGAACCAATGGCATTAGTGGCTTTAGTCTATTAATTGATGCATGATGTGAAGCACATCCCCAACAGCGTCGTCAGCTTTAGAAAACAGAGCCCTGTGAGCAGGTGACCGGGCAGCTGCTGGTGGCTGAGGATAAAGCCGGCTGTCCTGTGATGAGTCAAAATAGCATTGGTTTTCATTTCACGTGAGGTGCTTATGTTAACAGAGAGTGCTAAAGGTGAAAACAGAAAAATAAGAATTCTGCAAGTACCATGCTGAACAAGGCATAAAAGCTGCACTGCTTCCAAGAGCCGTGTGTTATTTCTGGAAGGAAAAAATTCTCTAAAGACTGTTTATTGCATAATTAGAATAATGCAAGTGAGGAATAGGCAAATGTAGTGGTAGAGCTTGCTGCAGGATTGTCTTCTGCTACGAGACGGGTGGCTTACCTCAGACTCACAGCAAAACAGATGGCTAAGCATGCTTGGGGCGTTTCTGGAGGAGGCGAAGAATGGAATGCAAAGGAAAGAAAATGGTCCTTTCTTGTGGGTACTGTGAAAGGAGAGAAATTGTGCATCAGTGTTTCCCAGTTCAGTACCAACCCCTCCGGGTAAATCTGAATGTTAGAGCTGATGAGATTCAGTTACTGAGAAACAGAAGGCTTACCTGTTCTGAACTGTCTGAACCGGAGCTTTCATTGCTGTCAAGCTGCTGCTGTAGAAAAAGTATGATTTTTTTTTTTTTGAGCAAAGCATAATTCATTGTACTTGTGGGGGTTTTTTGTTAGTTGTATTATCAACAAAAATAAACAGGTACTTCATTTTTGTTTTTAAAAATGCATATATTTTTAATCAACATGTCTTGTTAGAATGCTACATCTAAGAAGGGAATTGATCTTCAGTGTCTGAAAAATTGTCAGCATAATTCTGTGCTGTTGGAATGAGGACTTGGTTGATGGGCTGGGTGTGAGCTTGCTATTTATTGTTTTTGCTTTCAAGTCTGAGAAGGGCTTAATCTTAACCTGGAAATCTAGATTGGGAATACCATAAATGCATTTAGCCGTGTAACAATCACTGATGTTCTTGAGGCTGTCCTGACAGATAAAAGCCATGTAATTTCCAGCTGTCAATGTTAAGATTTCCCACACTGGATGCCTGTGTATTTTTGTTCAGTACTTACTGCATTGGTGACAGCAAGGACCATGCTCAGAATGCAGGACAGCAGCAGGAACTTCATTGTGAGAGAGACTCCTATGAAGCAGACAGCAAGCAGAGTTACAGCTTTTGGCTGAAAAGGAGATGTGGAGGAGTAATAAGGCTGTCCTGTGAGAGGAGTGTCAGGGAAATGGGGCAGCAGGAGCTGTGCTGTGAGTTGTGTGCACCACGTTGGGTGTCCTCGAGTGCCAGCTCTGTGTTTGAGCTGCTGATTGTGCAGCCAGGGTAAGTAAAGGGTGTTTTTTGAGTGGTCTTTGCCAGGAGCTGTTTCTTTGCAGCCTCACAGAAAGGCTGAGGAGCCTCTGGAGCTGATGGTGATCACCCCCCTCCCGTATCCAGGCCCCTCCAGCAGGGTCTGCAGGAGCAGGTTTGTCCAGGACTGTGTCCAGGTGGGATCGGAGCCTCTCCTGTGGTGGAGGCTCCACAGCCACTATGGACAACCTGCTCCAGCACCTGCCTGCAGCATAGCTCAGGTAAGAGCCAAGGATCTGTGTTACCTTTGGGCTGCATGTTGAGCGGCTGGTCGGTGGATCAGGAGGAGGCAGATGGCTCTGGCAACAGCGATGCATGGATGGCCAACGTCTATATATATATGGTTTTGGGTAGTGTGGCTTGCATCAGAAAACCACAAGATGTCATGAGTCACATCTTGTTTGGACCCGCTGATTGTTGAGTTTAATTACTTCCCACCTGGTAAAGCAGCCAAATTTTTTAGTTGACCTTTATGATTTTTATATAATCCTTGGGGGATTGACAGGTTTGGCAATGGGAATGCGTGTTGTGTTTGTGCTGTGAAAGGAATGTCTGTTGTCTTTTTCACTATGGAAGTTCTCCTATGTAGGAAGTACTTGTGTGATAACAATGTCCGGAGTACTGAAGCTGCTAACTTAGAGGAAGGGTTACAGTTTCCAAAATGGAAAAATCAGCTAATTGTGGAAACCTTTTCCAGGGTCCATGTGTATAACAATATCAGTAGAATTCTCCATCAATGTGTTCATCAAGAAGAAGTCATGCCTGACAGACTTGACAAGGTCCTGCAATGAAACAGCCTGATGGATGAGCGGAGGGCAGTGGATATTGTCTTCTTTGGAATCAGTAAGGCCTTTGCCACTGTCTCCTGCAATGTCAAAAGAAATTTGACTTCTTTGAAAGAAAGTCCTCATCCTCAGGGAAAAGAACTGACAGTGACTGTAGAAAAGAAATAAAAGTGCCCCTCCAAAATGGGCAGAAGTGGGAATAACTGGAGATTAATTTGAGTAACGTGTGGAAATCCTAATCTGCCTTGGAGATGTAGTTGTTTGCCTCAGGGAACTTGGACGGTTTTAAGGAAAGTCTTCCCTGTTTGTCCTGATGAGTTCTGTTTCACTGCATCTTCTTCTGCCACTTGGCTGGAGCAGAGCCCCAGTTGGTTTTAAGCTCTGTGGAGAATAAGACAATCCCTTGTGTGCTGACCTAAACAGGCTGATGAACTAGCTTTGATTGTTGTAAACAGGCTGAGCCATGGCTGTGGTCAGGCAGAACAAAATGCTGTCAAAACTTCTTCCTCCCTAAGAGATTTAAAGTCCCAGAGAAAGGCTCTTTATCAAATGGAATTTGCACAGAGCAAGCTAATATACACTAATCCAAATTCATGTATATGCCCTGCTGTGTGATGTTACAGAAGGTGCGGTGGGTGACATGTCAGGTTTACAGGAGGAACTGTCAGCAAAATATGTTTTGGTGGTCACCCATCCTTTGCTTATGAAAGATATTCCAGTGCTGAACTTTCTGATGGCTTTATTCAATGCCCCATGGAGAATCAGGCCGGAGTTGCACTGGGACAAGCAGCCCTTGCTCATACGAGGGCAAAGGAGCAGGAGCCAGGTGGAGTTCTGTGTTCTGAGCTACCAGAATGGCATTTCTGAATGCCATTCCTTTTGACATGGTTCAGGTGAAGGCTGTTTTCTGATCTCACTCTGTAGGAAGTGTCTGGGGTCTCCTGCTTCCAGCAGAGTACATCAGGAGTGGTTGTTTTTGGTGAAGTGCTTGGCTTGACATCACAAAGATACTCATATGTAATGATCTCCTTTTTTAAATTGCCATGTGTTCTGCCAGTATGCATTTGTAATGTAACTGTTCTTGGATCAGCCTGTTGTATTTTGCATATCTAATTGAGTCTACATTGCCCAGTTCGTGCTTTGATTTACCTCTGTGTAATTCAGCACTCAGAACCCTAGCCAGAATAGAAATGTTAATAAGAAATTGAAGAATTTAAAAGATCACTTGAGTTTGTTCCTCCAGCTCTAATGATGTAACTGCATTGTCCTATTTGAAAGGGATTGCTTGCTTTTCTCTTTTCATTTAGAAATTCAGATATATTCAAATTGTGTTCACAATTGGACATAGAAGGATTTTTATCTTACCTACTCCAAGAAGAGTGAAGGCTCCATTAATGTCCAGAATTGGCTTGTATAAGATCAGTTGTTAATTAGAGATTTGGCTTTGGCTGCTTTGTCTGCACAGTTGCTCATCCTGTATGTGGGGCAGATGTTTGATTCCAGTGGAGGTGCACAGAACTACAGACTTGTTACTCTTCTCCTGGAACTTCTTTCTGTTCTTAATTAGCACATCAGCAGTGCAGCCAGACCCTAATTTCACAGCTCAGCAGTGCTGGCATTCTCCTGGCACAGCTCAAGTCAGAGCTGTGGCTGAGGCAGGGAAGTGCCAGCTCCAGGACTCAGGGGGAGGCAGAGCATGAGTTCAGAGCCACTCATAAGTGCTCTAAGCCAGTGAGAGACACCAGTATTCAACTGTGGGACGTTACTGGAAGTTGCTACATGAGGTTTGATGGCATAGGCTTCTGTTAAGTACCTGTAACAACCAGATTTTGGAATGTTTGTCTCTTGTGGCCAGGAAGAGAATTGAGAAGCCTAAAAAAACATTGGTATGCAGAACAAGGACTATCTTAGAAGCCACCCCTTCTTGGTGTATTTAGTGTGGGCAGCGTATTCAGGCCTCCTGCAAATGGCCACTAGCCAGCCAATGCCTGCCACAGTCAGTTCTGTGAGTAGGCAGAAACACAATCTGTGCCCTGGAGAGGTCTTTGACCAGCGTTTCGTTGCATGGTGTTCTCTTGTACCTCAGGGCAAAGGCAGGTAGTTCATGCAGAGCTTCAGAGGCTTAACCTCCTGATCATTGCAGGTGGCTGCCTCATGTCTGGCTTGTGAGGAAGAGCTGGGCCCATCTGGGGCTGTTCCCCTTATATTCCTGCTCATTGGTTTGGCACGCACACCTGTGTCTGGGCCCAGGTCCTGGCAGAGTATTCCTGCACTGCTGCTGCTCCTCTGCACTTGCACAGGGAAGAGCAGGGTGGAAAGGGGAAGCCCAGAATTATCCAGGGCTGGCAGTGCTACAGTATCTTGTGCAATGAATGGGTTTAGGGTTTCAGAGGATTGGAATAGATAAACTCTCAGGAAGGAGAACAGGTATGGCGAAGTGTGTATGTTAACTGGAGTCAGTGCTGTTTCAACCTTATGCTGTAAGGAAAGCTTTGCTCAGCTGAAAAGAAGACAGAGCCAGGAATATCTGGCTTACCAGCTGAGGCCTTCACTTGTATTCTACACAGTCATAGAAGCACTTCCACTTCAGCTCACCCCAGTACATGAATGAAGGCACAGCATATCCTTGCTTTTACTTCTAACAGATGAGCCTGACTTTTGAATACTAGAACAGATAGCATAATTTACACTAAGTTGAATTATTTGCCTTCTAGTATAGGGAGAAAAATAGTGCTATTTTTTTCTGCATTCTTATGAAATAAATCACATTTGTGTTGCACATGAAACAGAACAGGGCACCCAGAAATTTGTAAGGAAATCACAGAATCATAGAATGGCCTGGGCTGAAAAAGTCCACAATGATCATCAAAGTTTCAACCCCCCTGCTATGTGCAGTGTTGCTTTGTTTTAAAGGTGTTTGTCTGGGAGGCAGAGAATATGTTACTTGACAACTTCTGGGTGGAGAACTGCATTTATTCTGTATAAGTTGTACTGACGGTGCTCATGCATAATGGACAATCAACATACTTAGGTAACACGTGATTAAAAGGCTGTATTATTTCAAGTACTCATTACAAAAGCACAAAACATGGAGTGTGCAGCACAAGGCTCCTTGAACTTAAAATGATTCATTAAGATGAAGTGGGACACCTTGAAGCACTCCTCCCCACACAAGACAGTGTTGCTCAGTGATAAGACCAGATTAATTTACACTCAGGCAATCCCACTGCATTCATATAGGTAGCTGCTCTTACCCCAAAATAGGGCTTGATGGGTTTCCTGTCTGCTACAGCACTAGGAGTCAGAGATCATAGAATGCACAGCCAGAATGGTCCTTCTGACTTCTAGAGCTGCCTCTCTGCTCTGCTAACACACCATGTTATGCACATCTGTTCCTGCTGCAGGTGTGGGATGGACCTTAAGGTGTGATGGAAGCGGTGGCCTGGAAGAAGTACCCATCTTAATTCTGCTCTGAATCCAAATCACTGTGCTACACTCAGCATATGTTCTGCTTTCACTCATTCCATGGGGAAATAAGAAACAATTTCTTTTTCACTGATTGCTTCTATGCCCAACAATTGCATCAAACTTAACATCAGTCAGCTTTTTGAGAACATTCGAGGCACGTTCTGGAATCAACCTGGAGGATGAAAAAAAAAAAAGCCAATGAAATTAAACCTAGGGTAAGACTTCAGGTTTTGGAGACAGTGGCACCACAGGTGAGACTGGAGCTCATCTGGGCACAGAATGCATGTTCACATCAGACTGAGACCAGATCTTAAATTTGGGGAGTATTTCCTAAAAACCCACTGCCTTCATAACTCTTTGACTAGTTTGACAGTCCCTTCAGCACCTTCCTCCTTTTAAGATCACTTCAAGGACAGATATCCACTGCAAAGGATGTTGGCTGCAACACTGCTTGCAGAACTCTGGAAGGTTTAACACTGAGTAGAGAGCTGTGCTTATAAAGTGGCTTTTCTGCTTTCGAAAGCAGCAGTCTGAGGAAAGGATGGGATGGTAAAAGAGACCTTGAGGTGCACTTTCCTCTTCTATGATTTTTTTTTCTTAGCGTG